CACTTTCAAAACAACATCTTTTTGAATTGAAAAACTAAAAATCATAATAAAAAAAATTATTATAATCCTGAAATAAATTATAATTATAAAAATATATTAATTTTCGTCCCGAAATGAACCCTTAAAATATTTGATGTTATAATATATTTGATGCTAGAAGAATCAAGATTATAAAATATCTAAAACAGGGATTGGGACAAGTGAATAGTTTAGAAATATAGTGAGAGGTAGAATAAATTTTGCTATTGGGGACACAATCTATTGGTTATAGTTCTAGATGCTTTGACCATTGCAACTTGCAAGCATATTAGATATTAGAAAAAGATAGAAGTGGAATATAACTTTGTTGTTCTCTAGTTTTAAGCAGTTGACAACTACGAAGAGAGGAAGATGAATTTGTTGTCCTCTTCTAGAAAAGACGACCCATGTTCAACACTCAACAGTGGTCAAGAAGGAAAACACATTTACCATTAACTTGCCAACTCAAACATTTGACATACCCCAAGATTATGACTGACTTTGATTGTTGAAGCTGCAAATTAATTTTAAAAGACTTGATAAAAAAACAAAATGTAACTTTTACACGTCAAATTGAAAATATTTGATTGATACGAGAAGAGTTAAAAATTAAAATTATTGAATATCTAAAATAAGAGTTTATGTAAATGTTTTAAAAGAGAATGACATGTATAAAGTGTAATTGTAAAATAAAATTCAAAAATAATTAAAATCTCATTTGCTAAGATTAACTATAAATTTTTGCTATGTATTTATTAAAAACTTGATTTTGTTAAATATTAAAAACTTTTGGCAAATTTCCAAAAACAATATCTATAATATAATGTGAGCTATTGTAAAGTTAGAGTTACGTCTGTATTCGGTGTAGTATTTCATAGTATGGGTGCTTAAAGTACAAGTGGCATGGACCAAACCTCAAAGAAAATCACCCTAGGTGTTATCTCATATGAGGTTGAGAGTGAAGGAATGTAAAAAAGGGTATAATGGCTCTAGAATTTGGAAGAATAACAATTCATGAAATTGATGAATTCCAAATGTTTCCTCAAATGGAAAGAAGGGGTATATATAGGTAGGAATATTCCCTTATCATAAATAGAGAAGCCGATAACCATTTTTGCTCTATACCTAAAGTGTTTGTGAGGATACACTCTATTATGTGAATGGAGTGAGTTGTGCAGGGGAGTAGATGATCCTCTACTTTGAGGTCGACATGCTCACTATAAGAAGGCCGAGATATAATAACCTCTTAATGAACCTTTCTAGATCGGCCAAAAAATATTGGATCAATGGGGTTGGTTCATATAGAGGTGGCAAAATAGGTCGATCGACCAGATCTCAACCGGCCAAAAATGGGACAAGGCGGGTTGATCCGCCATTTGACGGTGGGTTAGAAATATCAACCCATCATGTTTTGAGGTGGATTGATGGATTGGCGGGTTAACCTGCCTAAAAAACAAAAAAATAATTAAAAAGTTATAATAAATTATATTTTATTAATTTTATAATATTATTTTTTTATTCCCTTAATTTTTTCAATCTCAAACCTAAATATAAGCTAATATTCAGTCAGATATTTTTTAAGAATTTATTTTTGCTTCCATATATGGATCACATTTGTCATAAATAAAATTTTTCTTCTTTATATTTTTAAGGAAGTACTAAAATAAAAAAAATTATATCACAAAAGCTTAGTGACAAATAAAATACTACCTAATAGTAAAAAAAAAAAAAAAAAACCTGCGGGCCAACCCGCTACCAATCCATTTTGACCCACAACTAAGCGGGACGGGTTGAGGCGGGTTGGTGGGTTGGAATATATAATCCAACCCACCCCGTTTTGGCTGGTTGACAAATTGACCCGTCGGGTTCAATTCACATTGCCACCTCTAGTTCCAGAATAAATATTAATCATTTTTTTAAACCAATTTAAGGATGTATTCCAATATATCAACACAATAAATTTCCTTACAAAAAGGTATATTTAAAGGATAAGTCCTAAGTGCCGGCTAATGTTTAAACTAACATTGTTAAAATAAGGAGCATACCTCATGAATTACCTAACTCAACCTCATAATGCATTAACGTAACATTTAATTCCTTTTCTCCGTCCAATGGTGCTAGTCTTGGACTCTTGCTTCACGACAAAAGCAGGTGGTAGGGTCATGAAAAACCTATGACACTTGATTCATTTTACAATATTATATTTTTTTTGGTTTAATATTTCTCATGTCATGAAATATAAATTTTATCTCATATACACACATAAAAATATATTAGGCTCATGGGAAAAAAATGAGAACTTTTAGTACTACTAGTGCATTTATAATAGAATACGTAGATAGATTCTGAGTGTCTAGAAATTTGCACAGATCCTCCTATGCATCATAAAATAAATGAACTACCGATGCACTAATTTCAGTGCATCGGTAGAACTGAAGATTTTTCAAGAGAAGAGAGAAAGAGAAAATATAAACTCATACATTTTTTTTTTGGTACATAAACTCATACATTTTTATGTTTGTGTAGGTGATAAATTTATCTTCTACAATATAAGAAATAATAAACTCATATATATATATATATAGGTAAAATTATTTATGCAGCAGCTTTACGTACAACAACGGCAGGTGTATGGTTATGATTTCTCACATTTAATGCTTTCATCCTTTGTATGATTATGATTTCCCGCATTTAATGTTTTCAAGTATATAAATGACAAGTATTTGATTGCTGCACGTACAACAGCTGCAGAAATATAAACCCCATATATATATATATATATATATATATATATATATATATATGAGGGGATCATTTGACACCGGTGTCAAATTTGACACCTCATATGAGAGCCATTAGATCAAAAAAGATCAACGACTCTGATTTGTAAGCATGTGACATCATTGATCTTTTTGATCTAACGACTATCAGATGAGGTGTCAAAGGATCCTACCTCTATATATATATATATATATATATATATATATATATATGAGATAAGATCAACTTACACCGGTGTAAGAATAATAAATCTTACACCACATCTTAACCATTGATTTCCGTGCATCCAACGGTTGAAATTTATTGAGATTTAGAAATTAATTAATGAGTGAGATATAATAAATCTTAACCGTTAGATGCACAAAATCAATGGTTATGATTTGGTGTAAGACTTATCATTCTTACACCGGTGTAAGATGATCTTGCCCCTATATATATATATATATATATATATATATATATATAGAGAGAGAGAGAGAGAGAATAACTTGCAGAAATATTTTTGCGAAATATATATATATATGGAAAAGTTATATTTATAAACTTTTTGTTTACAAACTACACTAAGTATGACCAGTTATACTTCAATCAAGAGTGTATGACCGGTCATACTTGGTGTAATTTGTAAAAAAAAGTTTATAAACGGATCATTCCTATATATATATATATATATTGGCTTTAAATTTTTTTATGGTGAATATAGATAAGTTATCTACATTCATTCCCAAAATGACGTTATTTTAGGTTGAAAAGTTAAAAAATTATAACGAGAAATACTATTATAACCCTGAAATAAATTATAATTATAAAAATACCTTGATTTTCGTCCCAAAACGACATCATTTTGGGCTCAATATAAATCAATTTACAACGTTATAATAATAATAAATCTTACACTAAATCTTAACCATTGATTTTCGTATATCTAACGTTTATAATTTATTGTAAATTAATAATTAATTAATGAGTGTGACCCAATAAATTACAACAGTTAGGTTCACGGTAATCAGTGGTTAAGATTTATTATAAGACTTATTAATTTTATATTGGTGTAATTGATCTTATTTTTAAATTAAAATAAAAAATATTTATAATTATAAGAAGACTATCCAGCTGATGTTGATGTTAATAAAAATGAGTTATATTTATCTAATTTTACATGAAATAACTAAATTTCTTACACATTAAAGATAGGTGGGTTCCACTTTTTTTTTTTATCTCTCCTCTTACTTATGCGTCTCACTTGCCATCTTGTTTTTATAATATAAAATAACTATTTTTCTACAACATTATAAAATTATTTCTCATACAGAAATTGATATAAATGTTAGCATAAACTTATACACCAATTTTTTTTTTTTTTGATAACATATACACCAATTATTTTATATTTATTTAAAAAATACTCATGTCATCAATTTATTGGTCTGGCATGTGACACCGAAACACAACAAATTTGGAGGTCTCCCCTCATTGAGCACCAAATTTCGGGCGCACTCATTATTACTCATAACTTTTTGAGACCAAATTTCTTATTCTATAAACTCACACTTTATTGTAAAAGGGAGAATATATTGTAACGATCAAGTTGTGTTAGTACTAAGTTATTACCAATTAATTTTACTGTTAGATTGATTATGTTGATTCAACGGTTATATTTATTTTCATCTTTGTATGGTTATAATTTTTTAAATTTAATACTTTATATTTATTTCTACCTTTGTATGGTTATGATTTTTCATATTTAATATTTTCATTTTAAATATGGAGAATCATAACCATATAAAGATAGAAATAAATATAACCGTTGATCAACATAATCTATCTAACGATGAGATTAATTGATAGTAACATGATAGTAACACAACTTGATTGTTACACTATTTTTATCCTTGTAAAAATTAAAATTGTTTTATTTTCCCCTTTTTTTTTTGTTTGTTCCATCTTGGAAAATGACAAAATCATGTGTCATGGAAAAATAAAGATAAAGATTAAAAAATAATAGAAAAAACAGTGGCATCAATGGAGGCATGGTAATAGACTAATAGGTAAATAAGGCGTGAAAAACAAAGGCGAAGAATATTCGAAGAAGAAAGGAAAAGGGACCCCGAATCCAGTGGGCTTGGTAGGTTAAAGTTTTCGTTAGATAGATAAATAAGTCATTGATTTTGAAAAAGCAAAGAAAAATTGGGTAGGTGACAACTTATAAGGGTAGATAATACTCAACATTCATTCAACAACAATAACAGTTACACTCTCCCTAGTAAGCTCTCTCTCTCAACAACAACAACAACGTTGTATCCTGTTTCTCTTCTCTTTCTCGTTTCATTTTTCTCTCTCTACTCAAAAGCAAAGCATCAAGGAGGTTGAATTGAATCCATGGATTCTGACTATGGTATTCCCAGAGAACTCTCAGATCTTCAAAAGATTCGATCTTTGTACCAGCCTGAGCTCCCTCCTTGTCTCCAGGTACTCATTACTCTTCTTGTTTGATCAGATCTCTGTGTTGTTAGTGTTTTGTGGTGGCAATAGCCAATAGGAGTTAGCAAGTTTTGATTTTTGTGATTTGGGTGATGAACTTGCATGTAAATGGGATTGGCCCATTTCATATTTTTGTGCAGGGAACTACTGTTAGGGTTGAGTTTGGTGATGCAACCACTACTGCTGACCCTTCTGATGCCCCTTCCATAAGCAGATCCTTTCCACACACCTATGGACACCCTTTGGCTCACTTTCTCAGGGCCACTGCTAAAGTCCCTGATGCTCAGATTATAACTGAGCATCCAGCTACTAGGTCAAAATCTGTTTGTCATGTTGATGTTATCTTGGTAGTGTTGGGAATCTGTTTATGGTGCTTGTCTGTTTTGAATCTTATAAATTCTGTTGCTCTTACAGGGTTGGAATTGTTTTTTGTGGGAGACAGTCTCCTGGTGGACACAATGTTATTTGGGGTCTTCATAATGCTCTCAAAATTCACAATCCTAACAGTGTTTTACTTGGATTTCTTGGTAATTTGCATTATGGGTCTTTTTTTCTTTCTTTCTTGCAACTAGATATCTTAACTCCTTGTTTTGGTTACTTTGATATCCATGTTTCTTATGTAATATATTGTATTACTTTCACCCTAAAATATTGATATCTGTTAGACTTCTGAGTAACTAGGTCTGTATATGCTTATTTCATTCTCCAGGTGGTTCAGAAGGTCTATTTGCCCAGAAAACTCTGGAGATAACTGACAGTGTTCTCTCCACATACAAAAATCAAGGTTGGTTGTGGCAAGTGAAGTTGTTGTTAGTAGTCAGTGAATTATCTTTCAGAAAATTATTAACTCCTTCCTTATTCACATACCATGGCTGTTCTCTGCTAGGTGGTTATGATTTGCTTGGGCGGACAAAAGATCAAATTAGGACCACCGAACAAGTTAATGCTGCACTTGTTGCATGCAACACTTTGAAACTTGACGGTCTTGTCATCATTGGGGGTATACTTAATCTTCCTGGACTTGCATGTATGATTACATTTACATCTTCAATACAGGTTTCTAAATGTTGAAATACATTATCTTTTAGGGGTGACATCAAACACGGATGCTGCACAGCTTGCTGAAACATTTGCTGTAGCAAAATGTCCCACAAAGGTATATTTACTATTCTGGATTTTGTCATATTGTCCACATAGATGCGAAATAGGGGCTGCTTTTAGAGCTCTTTTCAATTTCATAATTAGTTTGGTTTAAAATTTATTTGTTCATTATATCATTTAGTTTAATTTCAGTGTACAATTTCAACAATAATTTATTGATTATGGTGTTGGGATTCTGCAGGTGGTTGGTGTTCCTGTGACTCTGAATGGAGATCTTAAAAACCAGTTTGTGGAAACTAATGTTGGTTTTGACACAATTTGCAAGGTATTTGTCCTATGATGGTGAGAAATTTAGTTTAAACATGATTCTGGATATAATATGTGATGGACCTCAAAACATTTGCTCTTCTTTAGGCTTTATAGTTTATATAGAAACTTGATGTCTTTGTGAAGATGGTAATTTTGACGTTATATCACCTATTAAAAAAATGCGATAATGGCCAATTTGTTTGTATTAGGATTTTTTTTCCCTTTATTTCTTTTTTGCATTGTGTTTGATGAAATGATTGCATATTCTCCTTGGAGAGTGCCCTTATAAAGAAAGACAGATTGGGATAGTTGGGACCATGTCAGCTTGCAAGATTGTGCTATGAAATGATGAGGATTGAAGTACCAGTGAAATTTTGCTTTTTATTTAATCAGGTGAATTCTCAGCTCATCAGCAATGTCTGCACTGATGCTCTCTCTGCAGAGAAGGTAACAAGTCTAATTATCTTGCTTTTTTCCCATATCATTTCTGTTTGCATGTAATATATATATATATATATATATATATATATATATATATATATATATGTTTGATTGTTCAAGTAAGCTTTTTGTTTTCGTGAATTTTCTTTTCTGACTGAGATTTCTTTTTCAGTATTATTATTTCATCCGTCTTATGGGACGGAAGGCATCACATGTTGCTTTGGAATGCACCCTCCAGTCCCATCCAAACATGGTAAGTATTATTATCTTGCTTCATTTATGGCTGATTGTGCTGTAGTTCCATGCTGAAAAACTATTCTTTCTTATGCTCTTTGTAGGTAATTCTTGGTGAGGAGGTTGCTGCATCAAAGCTTACCCTTTTTGAAATTACAAAACAGATTTCTGATGCAATTCAGGCTAGAGCAGAGCAAGGTTTGAATTATCTGAATTGCGTCTCTTCAATCTTTTTTTCATCTTTTGAGATCTGGTATCACATTCTTATGTTTTGCTCAGACAAATACCATGGAGTAATCCTCCTACCAGAAGGGCTGATAGAGAGCATTCCTGAAGTGTATGCACTCTTAAAGGTAAATCCCCATTCCTCAAGAGTCAGGCCCCACCTGAGCATGATGCATTTTGAAACTCGTCAATCAAGGTTCATGCATCTGTATATGTGTATTCAAGCCATTGTAGACTGTTGAATCTTCAGAAAATGAGTTTCCTTTTTGTCATTGACGTTAGTTGTTAGCATTACAGTTTTTCTCTCTCTTATGATAGAGGATACAACCTTAATCTTTTGTACCTCAGGAAATTCATGGTTTACTCAGACAAGGTGTTGCTGTTGACAATATATCTTCTCAGCTTTCACCATGGGCATCTGCTTTATTTGAATTTATGCCACCTTTTATTAGGAAACAGGTAAACTCTTGTTTATCGTGTTGAAAATTGGCCTTGTGTCAATTTGGTTCTAAAGATTATAACAAAAACTCTAACTAATATCTTCAATGCTGCAGCTGCTCCTTTACCCTGAATCAGATGACTCAGCACAGTTATCTCAGGTAATAATCACCGGATGTTTTTCTGTTCATATGAATTGCTAGGATTTCAGTTACTTCATGTCTTTGTTCTCCCTACTTTTTAATGACTCACAGATTGAGACTGAGAAACTACTAGCATACCTTGTGGAAGCAGAGATAAGCAAGCGTCAGGTATTGTCACTGGGTCTATGTTCCATTCTGTCTTCTATATACCCTTTACTGGATTGGCGACCATTTTCTTTGCACTTCAACAGATTATTATGCATGGATTTATTTATGTATTTGTTTGCGGCTATTTCCCTCCTTTGCTTGATAGTCCAAAAAGCATTGTGGACCTGGCCTTAAATTACTTTTAGTGACTTAAATTATCCACTTGTGCCTGGATGTTTAAAAATATTGTTGTTCCTTTGACAGAAAGAAGGCACATACAAGGGAAAGAAATTCAATGCCATTTGCCATTTTTTTGGTTATCAAGCTCGTGGATCTCTGCCATCAAAATTTGACTGTGATTATGGATATGTATGTTGATTCAGTTTTCTTTGATTTTCCCTTCTAATAAGTCTCATCTGTAAGTGTTTCCTTTTGTTAATAAGTTTTTGATATCATTGCAGGTTCTTGGACACATCTGCTATCATATACTAGCCGCCGGTTTAAATGGATACATGGCAACTGCAACTAACCTGAAGAATCCTGTAAACAAGTGGCGATGTGGGGCTGCTCCAATTGCAGTATGTCTATGTTTTTTTCATGTTTTTGCTTGAATCCCCTATTTAATGGTTATTCATGATGGTTTTGTATTATATATCAATGCTTTTCATGGTAGAGAATGTTCAGTGTTTTGTCTGTTTGTGATGAACTTCAGGGTATGATGACAGTGAAGCGCTGGTCTCCAAATCCTGGATCCACTTCAGTTGGAAAACCTGCTATTCATCCAGCTACTGTTGACTTGAGAGGAAAAGCATATGAGTAAGACTTTTTGTCATTTTGTATGATGTATGTGTATATGCCTGCACATGGATTATAAAATATAACTAGAGATTTTCATTTGTACTCCTCTTGGTCAGTTATGTTTATATGTACTTACTCCTTTCCTCTCACTATTTATATAGATTTTTTTTTTTAACCTCAGCTTGCTTGGTCTCATTTATTGGTTGTAAATTCAGGGCATACTCTAATTCATGATCTTGTTTGCAGCATGTTGAGACTAAATGCAACAAGCTTTCTTATGGACGATATTTATAGAAATCCAGGTCCACTTCAGTTTGATGGTCCTGGTGCAGATGCCAAGCCTATAACTCTTTCTGTTGAAGACCAGGACTACATGGGTCGCATTAAGAAACTTCAGGAGTACCTTGAACAGGTCTTGAAAAACTCTGATATTTTAACAGCACAATAGCCTTTAAAACACATAATTTTCTTATTTAAATGTCTCACATTGAAAACAAATTCAAATTTTATGGTATACCAAAGATATTCTTACTTAGAGCCCATTTGTTTCACCTTCCACAAAAAGTAGCTTGTATCTCTTCTTTATTTTAAAAGTGCTTTTTATAAAAGTTAAAGCTATTTATATTTTTATAAAAATATTTAGCTTTTGAATTCTACTTTTTTTAGAAGTTAAAATTTTTAGCTTCTAAAAAAAAGTAGTAGATTTTTGGCTTTTTTTTGTTACTTCTGCTTTTTTTTAAAGCAGACATCCAAACGAACTTAGAGCCCGTTTGTTTGCACTTTTGAAAAAAGTAACTTTTATCTCTTCCTTATTTTAGAAGTCCTTTTTGCAAAAGTTAAAGCTATTTATATTTTTATAAAATATTTAGATTTTGAAAAAAATATTTGACTTTTGACTTCTGCTTTTTTCAGAAGTTAAAATTTTTAGCTTCAGAAAAAAGTAGGTTTTTGACTTTTTTGTGACTTCTGCTTTTTTTAAAAGCAGACATCCAAACGAACTAAAAATGAAAAGTGTTTTTTTTTTATAAAAAAAAGCAACTTCTAGAGAAAAAAAGTTCATCCAAACGGGCCCTTAAAGTGAGAAGTGCTTGTTTTTCTTAAAAAAAAAAAGCTTTTGGAGAAAAAGAAAGCCCATCGAAACGGACCCTTAATAATATGGAAATATGTTTGGTCACTTTCTGGCATTGAGTCTCTTTTACAAGACCTAAAAACCATTGATTGTTCATATCCTCATTAATCATTATGTGTGCTGGATGAGGAGTAGCTTTTATATTGATGATCATTACTTCTTTTTTGGCATGATGGAATCACTTTGTCCACATTTTTTATTGTGTCTAAAGTTGTTAGCAGGCATAATATTGTTTAATTTTTTTATTTTATTTTTTCCAAATCTTCAATCAAAGTTGGGCTTCTCATGGAACTTCTCATTGTTGCTTCAGGTTCGAGATATTGTGAAGCCAGGATGCCCTCAGGATGTTTTGAAAGCAGCTCTTAGTGTCATGGGGTCTGTTACAGAAGTTCTAGCTGCCATGTCATCATCTTCTAGCAACAACCTGTCTTCCCTTTAAGAAGAGTTACACATGGAAGTTGTATTCTTTTTGACATTTTCTTGCGTAACATTTTTATTTCTTTATTTTTATAGCCATGGATGTAGTTGATGATTGAAAATAAGTGTTAAGATCTGACATGGTGGATGCCAACATGAGATTACTGTATTCAAAGTTTTGACTGTGTTCCTATAACTGGGTGAATTTTTGTGGTTCCATGTTGCATTGTTTAATAATTTAGCTTGGTGCTTGAGGTTATTCCTTGTTCTTATGAGGATTTATATTACAAGTTATAGTAACTGACATGGTCTTTTATAAATGGGTTATATTTATCTTATTCAATATGAGATAAACCAAATTTCTACACACACGTAATAAAGAAGGTGGATCCTACCTTTATTTTTTCTCTCTCCAATTTTTTGTGGGTCCCTCTTATAATTTTATTTCACTAACATAAGATATGAAAAACATTTCTCTTTATAAATATAGAGGAACAAGGCCTTGGTCTTTTAATCAGTGTATATACTTTTAAGGATAAAAGTTTCTATCATTGTATATAACTTGTAGAGATTGTGTCGGGCATTATAAACTCAATAATATTATTTTCAATATTATAAAATACATTAATTTCAAGAGTTATTAACCATAATGATATTGATATGTTTGCAAATTGTTCCCGCTCACCACCAAATTATACCAATATACATGCAATTTGAACAACAAAATTCAATTTCAGTGTGCTTTAAAGAGTACTTTAACTTCAAAATTTATCAATTCATAAGTTAAACTCAATATAAAAATATTTCGGTAATAATTACCAAGAAAACAATTTTTATGATAAATATGCAACGTGTTATTGTTTATGTTTTAAATTGTTTGATTCCTTAAATAGGGTACTTTTTTTCTTTTTAATATTTTCCGATCAATATAAGGATTTTTCATTAAAGTTAAGTTGCTTAATTACAAGTAATAGAAGTTTAGTAACTTCATCAATTTATTATTTAAATTAAGCAATTTGCGGACGAGGATTAATTCGATGCAAGGTCTTGCCTTCCCAAATTTCTAACAGCTCCAAAAAGTTGATGCATGATAGAATAATGGGTAGCACTGTTATTGAAGTACCAAATAGCATATCTTGGAGCAAATGATACGAGCTTAGTTGGTGCCAGGAAATTAAGTAGGTGATGGTAAGAATATATGTTCGTTTCTCTCCAATACTGTTTTTGGGAGAGATTTAAAACCTTAATCCTGGATTCGTCCTGAATCGGAGTAATCGCTAAACAAAAATCTTGTTTTGTTCATTTTGTTTACAAAAAGGTGTTGGAATTTGAAAATTCTGATCTATTGCCTGACAACACTGCAACGCGTGGAAGCTCGTAATTTCTTGATGGATATTGACATTGACAATTACCAACATTGATTTATTGATAGTAAAACGCAAAACACCACAACTTGTCAAAATCTTCAAAATTTACTCTTCAAATTTGATTGTATAGAATATCCTGTATGTTGTGACTTCAGATGATAAATCAGTTTTCTCTCGAAGAATTTTTCTTTTACCATCAGTTGAAACTTGAGATATCAATCGAATGATTACAAGATAAAGCTTTGCAAAAATTTCTGGCAAATGAACTTATTAGAACCAAGCATTGCTGCATTGGCATCACACTTAATTTGAGAACTGCTCATGGTTGTCATCTTATGCTAAGTTGTTTGTGTTGTTGAGCTAAAATTGGAATCAAGAAAATTTTATTGTAAAGTTTCCGTAGTATTAGAAAATTAGATAAAATATTATATGCTAAAACATAGTTCGTTTCTTCATTATTCTATTATATTTTTATGGGGGCAATGTTGAAATGTTTCTCACAATATATGCCATTTTAAAATATCAAGTTAATTGAGAAGGAAAAAAGTTTGCAATGAAATGTTAAAATCCAAGAATCTCACTGGATATCAATTAATCTTGAAATATCAGAAGTCTAGTGAGCTAGCAAAGAAGCTTGGTGATCAAATGAAGACCAAGGAAACACATTTGAGCCACATTTTTGTAAAGGTGCAAAGGTAGAAGAAATCAGAAGCAATGAAGAAGAAGACTACAAAGGCTCCTGGTATACTTCAAATGTTGTAAAATGGCAAGTACTTGCTGGAGTCTTTGACCCTGAAAGCAGATAACTTAATCGACTAATTAAAGGAAGAGTAAATACCATTTTGGATCCTTGACAAAAAACACGGTCCCATTTTAATTCATTAAAAAAGAAAAAATTACTCTCGAGGTCCTTCAAAAATTCAAAGCGGATCTATTTAGTTGAAATCATGGTCCCTCACAAATTCAAAAAAAACTCACATTAGTCCCTTAAAAGAACTAAAATGAATCCATTTTGAATTTCTTAAGAACCTCGAGACTATTTTTTTTTTTTTGTAATGGACTAAAATGGAGATCATATTTTTTATTAGAGATTCAAAAGGATTTTACTCTTAAAGAACGAGCAGATGCTTCAAATATAAGGACAAATCCTCCAGATGTCAATTATCTTCACCGTTTTGTACTGCATGAAAAGGTTGGTGCCTGGTACAGTGGATGGACGGTGGGCAGGTAGATCAGGTATCAAGTGTTTGTGTTTTTTTTTTTTTTTTTTTGGCTTAAAGTACAGGGTTTACTTCTTACCTAAAAATGAGGAGCTAGAATTTAAACACTGTCATCTGAAGCCTCTTCAAGAATGGATTGGTGGAAGCTTTTTTACACCGACACGGGACACGGAATACAATACGACATTCCGACACGTTAATTTTAAAAAATATTAAATTTCGACACGTTAAGATACGTTTTGATATTATATAATATTTTTAATTTATGTAGTGTATATTATAATTAGTATTCAATAATTTAACAAAAAAATAAAGCTAAACTTATAATACTCATCAATTTTGCAAAGAAACATAATATAACTCAAATGTTTATATTAAACTCAATAAAATCATAATCATAATCTAACGAATCTAATAGTAAGAACTCAAAATGCAACGCAACGTAACATTTAAATCTTTTGAGTCTTTGCAACAAGTATTGAAGTGTCAAACACGACATGTCAGAATTTTTGAAGTGTCGGTGCTTTGTACGGTGGAAGATGGGTACTACCGTACTACCTACATCTTTTGATTTGTGAATTTGGCAAAACAGATTTTCAACCTGATATCATTCGGCATAACTCATTTATCTTCATTGACGATTGTTGCTTAGTAATGATCTCACAATGTACTAGCAATGCCCATTTAAGCTTATTTAGCTAAGTGTGTACAGAGTCCTGCTAATTGGTTCCCACATTTTAAATGCTACTTTTGTAAATGTGAATAGCTTATTACGCTGTGAAACAATGTAGTGTTTCCAGCAAACTACAAACATACAATGTCTTGTAGATGAACCCAAAAAAAAAAGAGTGATGCAGGATTTCCCAAAATATATGCCCATCTATTTTCTTCTAAAGAACTCAGATAGATTACTTTAAATAAGGAAACAAAAAATCCGGATACATAGTTACACACCTCAAGAAGGTTTGCAATACCTCAAAAAGCACAAGAAAACAGAGGAAGACTACACATCCTTAAAACAGAAAATTTTAAATGATTTTTCATCTAATTTTTTCTACCTTTATTTCTTTTGTTTGAAACTACAACCCATCCATCATCTGCTTCACCTGAAACCTTTGTCAGAGGCCCATTAACTGGCTTGTTCACCGAATTCAACTTTGATTCAGATTTAGGAATGTCCAGATCCATGTTTGAAGAATTATCAACCCCGCTAATGTTCTCATCATCATCATCATCATCATCATCTTCATCATCATTTACAATCTAGCACATCATAAATGTCTAACGTTATTACTTCTTTCCAATTCAAGGGAAGTGGTTGATCATCTAATTGTCACTTAGGAAATATGTAAACAAGGGAAAATGTTCATCATCAACCAAACGTGCTCAGTAATATTATATAACAGTGACAATACCATAATCTAGTCCCAAGTTAGGAGAGATTAACAGAAAAGTTGTTCACATTGTGTTTTTTTTTTCAAGGAGAACAGGTGGGGTTACAAAGTAATAACTGGTAACAGAAGCAAAATTGTAGGCAAAGAAGCCTGAATGAGATTCAGTCCCTTAAGATAAATAATCTCCTACAATTTTTAAAAATTATAACACAATCAAGCCAGAAATAGTAGAAGGGTTTATCCCCCTACTAACATGAACTTCCTTGAAACAAGGAAGTATACAGGCAGAAACTGAATAGCAAGCCAACTTTCATCATGTGAGGTGATAAAAAAAGGAGTAAAATAGTAAAAACAAACAATAAGAAGTTAAAAAGTCAAAGTTATAGGCATGCTTGTCCATACTAGAAAAAGATTTTTTACGGTGAACACATGTACAAGTTGCAGCAACAGAAAACTACCGGAAATATCAAGCAATAAACAGCAACCGAAATCCCAAGTCTCTTATTCGGTTCTCCCTCCCTGTACACCATCAATAACCTTTATCTTGTCAAACAAGCAGGTCTTTAGTCCAACATCCTGGTTGGTTTTATCTCCTTGGATTTTCGAACGCTTCACTTATTAACCATTATCCCCTTGATACTCTTCATGTCTCTGGCACTAAAAATATGGAGAGGTCTGAAGAAAACTGACTCAACTACAAATATACCCCCAGGGCCATGGAAGCTGCCTATTATAGGAAATATATGTCATCTTGTTACACACACACACACACCACACAGAAGATTAAGAAATTTGGCCAAAATATATGGACCCTTGATGCATCTACAACTTGGAGAGGTCTTCACAAATGTTGTTTCCTCACCTTAGTATGCTAGGGAGGTGATGAAAACCCATGATGTCATCTTTGCGTCAAGGCCTCAACTTATATCTACAAAAATACTATCTTATGAATCCACAAATATTGCTTTTGCACCTTATTGAAATTATTGGAGACAGCTACGAAAAATATGCACAATGGAGCTTTTAACTCAAAAGCATGTCAATTCATTCAAGCCAATAAGAGGAGAAGAGCTCAACAATTGATTCACAGAGAGGATCTCCCATCAATCTTACTCAAGCAGTAATTTTAAACAATATATAGTATCATTCCAAGGGCTGCTTTTGGCAAAAAAAGCAAAGTCCAAGAAGAATTGACAAGGAGGAGTAGGACTTGCAGGATGTTCTGACATTAGGAGAGTTGTTTCCTTCAGCTAAATGGTTTCAACTTGTTACAGGTTTGAGGCCTAATCTTCTTTAGGGGTTGCATTGGAAAATTGATCAGATATAGACTAGGTAAGAAATTTCTAAATAGAAGACAAAGAAGAAGAAACTCCCTTTCAATCCAACCCCATATAACAAAAATACTATAAACAACACATTACTCAATATGGTCTTGTTGCACACAGCTATAGAACAGGACATACCAAAATCATTAATCACATCAAATAAAAACTTAAATGTTCCTCCCTCCTAAGGTACTCTCTGTTTACTATAATAATGTGTTTTGCTAACAATTAATATTGTATAATTTTGGTAAGTCATATTAAGCAAACTGAACCAATAAATATGCTTTTCCAAATTCACTCTCTATTGAATCTTATAATTGATCTTCTCTTTGTCTTTCATAAGCAATCTAATGGAGTTTTCTGATTGTGCAGCCCAATTGCATTATATTGGCCATCTCTCCTGCAAACCAAGATATTGCCACTTCCGATGCAATAAAAATTGCAAAAGAAGTTGATCCTTCAGGTATGTCTTTTTATGTTTGAAGGAATTTTAAGTGTATTCAGTGTTTCCTCTGGTCATTGTCTTTCTTTCTTTTTATGTTTTAGCCAAGACTTATGTAGAAAAACCTTTGCTATTTTATTCTTGTTTCAGGTGAAAGAACATTTGGAGTGTTGACCAAACTTGATCTTATGGATAAAGGAACTAATGCTGTTGAGGTATAATTTCTCCAACAACTGTCTGGTTATCTTCTGTTTTGATGTTCTATGCCAAATTGATTTCCATGTTATTAAGATCGAGTTTATCACTAGTGAAAAGTTATGTATTAATGTGAAACTTAAAGTTCCTCGAAGGAAGGAAATACAGGTTGCAGCATCCTTGGGTTGGAATTGTTAATCGTTCACAAGCTAATATCAATAAGAACGTTGACATGATTGTTGCTCGCAAGAAGGAGCGTGAATATTTTGAGACAAGCCCTGAATATGGACATTTGGCACATAAAATGGGCGCAGAATATCTTGCCAAGCTTCTATCTCAGGTATTCTAATTAATATTTTATTCATGTTATTTTCCTTAACGCTGTGGTCGTGATACTTTTTTCTTGAAGTGATTTCTGTATGCTCTAATTCATCCTATGACGAGTAATTTCCCTTTCTATCCTTCACTGGCACTTATCTATTCAGCATTTGGAGTATGCTATTAGGCAGCGGATACCTAGTATCATTGCCTTAATAAATAAAACCATTGATGAGCTTAATGCAGAGTTGGACCGGATTGGCAGGCCTATAGCTGTGGACTCAGGGTTATGAGCTTAGAACAATGCTGAAATCAATCTTCTATGATTTGAAACTACTTGATTTCTGCTTATACTAAGTAGTGTTATTTTTTTATAGGCCCAACTATACACTATTTTAGAGATGTGTCGTGCATTTGACAAAGTATTTAAGGAACACCTGGATGGAGGGTAAGTGCCCTTATTAAGTTTTTGACAGTAGTTTTGGGCAAAAGTTCTTCTAACTCACTTCAGAAGCAGAGAGTAATTGAAAAAAAAAATAACATAATTGAGTTTAATTAGATACACCTTTATAGGATGCTGTTGTTTTGTTATGAAATAATTTTATGCAACTAATTTTCTTTTTCTTGTTGATTTTTGGGGGAGTTAATATATTTGATTAAGTAACCAACTTCTATTTCAAACGTCCTGGTGGGGATCGGATTTATGGTGTTTTTGACAACCAATTACCGGCTGCTCTAAAAAAGCTCCCCTTTGAGCACCATCTTTCCTTAAAAAACGTCCAGCGAGTTGTTACAGAATCTGATGGTTATCAGCCCCATCTGATTGCTCCAGAGCAAGGCTACAGAAGAATTATTGATAGATCTATCAGCTATTTCAAAGGCCCAGCTGAAGCCTCTGTGGATGCTGTAATCCTCTTGACTATGTTTTATACAATAATCTGTTCAATGTGGGAAGCACAAATGCATTTATTCCTTGATCTGTTTAATATGTGATGGATGTACCAGATATTAGTATGCTTGAATAAACTTGTTTATGCATAATATGATTACTTGTTTGCCTGGACATCCTGCTCATATACCATGTTTCAAGTTTTAAAGGAATGCTTTATCTCCTTACAAGTAATGCACCTTTTCATCCATGGACTGGGGTGTTCTTCAATTTATTTTATCCTTTAACTTACAATTTTTTTGCTGTCATCTACTTTCAGCTCCGCCTCCTTTTAAAGGAATTAGTACAAAAGTCAATTGCCGCAACTAAGGTAAGCAATGTTTTAAGTTGATATAATTCTTTCAGAAAAGCCCCTGATTTTCAAATAACACACTCGCAAGTGGGATGATCTTGTTCTTATCCTACATGTAAGTGGTATTGGTATTCCTGTGCTTGTGGAAAAGGTGAATGAATGTTCCAGTTTTAGTTCACCCTAAAATATTAAGAGTGTTCTGTTTTACTGTTGGAACAAGGAAATGAAGAGTTGGAGTTAGAAAACTGGATGGAAGAGGAGGAAAAATGTCATAGGCATAAGAAGTGGTGTTTTCAAATAAATTCATGTAACACATTTTGGGGATGGCTTTGGCTGAGCTCAAGTAGAAGTAGAATACCACCTACTTTCTCTTCCGGAATAAAAGGATATCTTTATAATTTTATATTTTTTGGATTGAAGTTTAAAATTCTCATAATGGAAACACAAGTTATGTAATTTTGAACTGTGGAATAATTCTCTGTCCTCCTTTTGGGACTTGAAACACAAATCTAGCACTCTATCATATTGCTCTAATTTTATAGATTTAAAGAATTAGGAAAACCAAGTATAACTCACCTCACTAAGAAGTCTGAAAGAACGCTCCATTAACAATTAGCTTTTTTTCTGATTAACATGTCATGAAAACTGTTGCTTTACATGTATGGACATTCAAACTCACCTGGAATGCCCCCCAACTTCACCTAGGATTCAGGAAGTTACAAAGTGAAATAATTCTATCGCTGTTATAATTTTATGGCATATAGAAATTGAAGAGGTTTCCAACACTTCAATCTGAGATAGCCACAGCTGCAAATGACGCTTTGGAAAGATTCAGAGAAGAAAGTAGGAAAACAGTGACATGGCTAGTTGATATGGGGTCTAGCTATCTAACAGTGGAATTTTTTCGGAAGATTCATCTTGAACCAGAAAAGAACCAAAGTCGGAATAGTCCTAATCCCAATATGGACAATTACACAGATAATCACCTCCGGAAAATTGGTATATAATTTACTACTAGCCTTCTAACCACATGCACAACACAAAAAAGTCCACATTTTGAGATTTTTAGAATTTCTCCCTTTTGCTCCTATATCGGTTGTGTTTATTGGTTCTATAAAATTAAGAATTGGGTGCTTTGATAAGTCATTTATTTTAGGTATCACGTTAAAGCTGGTTTTGAATTTAAATGTTGTTGAACAAATGTCAGAAATAGTGTGATACCAGATGTGTTACAAATTACAATAGAAACTAATAACACCTATCTATACTAACAATTAGGACAAGAGTTAGTGTATTTCTACTAGTATAACACAACCCATCATATAGAAATTGGAAAACATGAAGTAATCCTATATAACCCCAAAAATTTGACATTTTGAATCTAACTATAAAACAGTTAAAATTTACCTGCGTTACTTGAGGATGAGCAGCTTGCTTAAGATTGGCTTCCCTGAGAATCTCGATAGACCTAAAATTACCTTGTAAGCACTCTTCATGCATAACCATTAGATTTTCAGCTACCTACAAAAATCATGAACATGGATATTTCAATTAAGAAAAACTGAGCGTCGCAAAAACATACATATATCAGTAACAAGTAACTATCAGCCACGAAAATTTATACAATCCATATGGGGACATAATTTAAGTTTAAATTCATGAATAATTGATATGGACAACAGAACATAATTCAAAACTGTCTTAGGGATACATAAATTCTTTCAAAATAATAATAAAAATAAATAAATAAAAAATACCTCTTCAATGCTGCCATCTTCAACCTCTACGTTGAGAGAAAGCATTCCTTCATCGAGTATGCTTTCTAAGTCATCGATATAAAGTGGCTCTGAGCACCAACAAAAACTAAAATCAGATGTAAATAAATAAACAAATAAAAATATAAATAAAGGTATGAAATAATACCTTTGCTAAACTTTTAGATATCATGGTGAAATTGATAAACTTGAGCAAATCATGTGCTTTGTCATGTATTATTATATGTTACAGAGTTAAAACTAAAAGCAATATACCAATATGTACTGTCTGTAATGTAAGAATGAATCATTTGCAACAACGCATAAATTATACAACATTTGCAATGTTACACGTCACAAACTTTTTACAAATAGCAGTGCTTAATTTAACACACGTGGGAATTGGGACAACTACATAAATTCTCCATCTCCAATAATATCTTAATAGTAACAAGGTAAGCACTAGAAATGCAGGGAAATTTCCCAGAGCTAGCAACATTTTAAAAGAACTGAAAGCGCTAGGCTAGTTTGCATTAGAGTTTTAAAGTCAGCCGCTACAACTAAGACCATGCTATTACGCTTCACAATAGAGTAACAGGAAGAAAAACTCAGCACCTACTAAGACCATAATATTATGTAAAAAAAAATATTTCTGCTTACTCCCAAAACGACGTGGTTTGAAATCGAAAAAATTAAAAAATTATAATTATAAAGATTATAATAACTCTAAAATAAATTAAAATTACAAAAACATCACGATTTTTTCGTCACAAAAAAAGCGAACCCTATTATGTAAGATCAAGTTTGGACCTAACACGTATCTCTAATGGGTACATGACAATAATCTCTATGATCGTGCCCACAGCTATTTAGCAAATGCAAAAGTTATCACTTATCAATGGCTCTGAGTTTATACCTTTGGATTGAGTGAACCAGGAAAGTAGATCGGCGGCGAGTTGATCGGCTTTGAGTCGTGACTCGCGGCCGCCCCATTCGTTCTCAACGGCGGTTCGAAGTGCCGACCACCGATACAGAACCAACCCAATCCCTTCACTGAAAAGTCTCGCTGAATCTCCTTGTAACCGTGCTGTGTTTGCCATTTGATTTCGTTCAGTGTTTCTTTCGCGTTTAGGTGTACATTTATATTCTAGGGCACCAGCATCCAAACCTCTGCGTATGATATGAGGAAGGAACCCAAAAGCATTTTTCATTTTTATAATAAGTACAAGTTACAAATTATTTTTAAATTTATTTTTCATATAAAATACTTAATATATATTTATATTTATATATTAAAAGAAAAGATCAGATTAATTGAATTTACTATCAGCAGGTAAAAAAAAAAAAAATTCCTTTTTGCTACTCTGCTGAATTTTTGGCATGTGATGACTTATTATGACTTAATTATTTAGCTCTGATATAAAGTTGTTATTTATATTGCACAGATATTGATATGAGACACGACACGATACGATATGATGATACTAATTTTAAAATTTTGACATGTTAGGACACATTTTGATATTAAATAATATTTTTAATATATAATATAATTTATATTTAATACATATATCAACTCATAATAAGTCATATAACTAATCAAATATTGAAATTCCAAAACATAAATATAAAATTAAAAATAATCTTTCATGCCTTGTTAATTTTTCATGTGAAATTCCATAAAAGAAAATATTTGATTTACAAATTAATTTTCATGTTTAGTTAAAAGATAAAATAAAATAAAATTTGAATCTTAAAAATAATGTGTCGAAAAATATTGATCACATGTTGGAAAATATTGACCGCCTGTCAATATCAGAACGTATCGGGGACGTTGATCGAGTGTCGAAACACGTGGAGGATGTGGGTATTCGACAAATGTCCGACACACATATTTCAACCAAAAACTTGGCTATTATTGTAATTTTGTTAATTAAGTTTAGAGTAAGAGATATTTTCATAATTAGAATCTCAAAATTCAAGCATATCCAATATTTTTTAAGAATTGATAATAAATTTCTCCAACCTATCAATATAAACCACATTTTTCTTCTTAAACTTGTTTTTTTTATAGATTTTATTAATTTTTTTTTATACCGACCATAATTACCACTTTGAGGTGAGTTTGCGCTCGAGTAGCCCTATAACTTTTAACTCTTTCAGCTGTCTATAAAAGTAATCCTAAGTCGGGGTTTAATTATAGTTAAAGTTCCTAGTTCCTCTCCATTCTCAAAGATGTATTGAGGCAAAGGTTGAACTTTGATCATGGACAATAAATTGATGATTTAATTAAATTTATATAATAATAGAGGTTTGCATTTGTCATTTAACATGACACAATAAACTTTTCTACACACATAATATTTTGTGGGACCCACATTTTTTGAAGAAGAAAAGAAAGAAATTACAGCTCGCAAAACGATTCTCTATAACATTACACAATTAATTTTCCTACAACATAACTCTTATAAAATCCATAATAATATATAATAAATATAAAATTAGAAGTGTTATAAAAAAATTAATCTAACAATAAAATTTATATCCATCACTTATTTTATATTAAAAAAAATCATCACTCATCATGATATTATCAGGATTCTCTTCTTTCTAATTTTTACATCAGAATATTATGTGATGAATCTCATATGGAATGATAAATCAATCGTTATAATTTTATTTTATTTTTTTTCATTTTATAAGCTTTATCATTAAAACTATGATTATTAATTTATAATTGAACGAGTGAGATTTATTGCATTATATAATAATATTAAAATTAAACATAATAGGGTTTATTTTCCAAATTCTCTTATATTTTTTTTTTTCATTCCCAATTGTTAGGAAGAGGAGCAGATTGCATTATCTACCGTCATCACCGGTTAAAGCAGAGCTCATAATTTTGGTAATTAAGAATTTAATTGCTTTCATCGTTTAAAAGAAAAAAGGGAAAAATAATTTAATCATAATTAATAAAAAAAAAAAATGCGAACTAACGAGTGCCCTAATTCGATTTTTCACCTTATTTCCGAAACCCACACACAATCATTTCTACAGCTACTAATCGCAACAGTGTAATTCGACGTGCATTATCGGAATCTCTTGCTTTGAAGGTGATATTTCTTAATTGCTTTCAAACTTCGGAACTGGAAAACATGATGTGTTGAGCCTTTTAAGCTTATAATCTATTTTCTCTCATCCAAAGTTTAAAGCTTTTGATTTTGATTGTAACATAACTATGTATTTAAGAGATGGGTGTTCCTTATTGTTGAAATTGCGTAAACCTTCAATCCCATTTGTGCTCAACACAAACCCAATTTTCAATCTTGATAAACCCCAACCCCAACCCCAACCCTCTCCTGTTCAAGAGTCCCATGTGGTGAAGGTGTTGAAACATGAGCAAGATATTGTGTTGTCACTTGAATACTTCAAATCCTTGGCCAATTCCAGAGCTTTCAAACACACCCATTTGACATACCATGTTATGATTGAGAAGCTTGGGAGAAATTGTGAAATGGATGGGGTTCAATATCTCCTGCAACAGATGAAGCTGGAAGGGGTAGCTTGTTCTGAAGATTTGTTCATATGTGTGATGAATTCCTATAGGAGAGCAAGGTTGGCTGATCAAGCTTTAAAGATGTTTTATAGGATCAGGGAATTTGGGTGTAAGCCCACTGTCAAGATATATAATCACTTGTTGGATGCCTTGCTTGGTGAAAATAGGTTTAAGATGATTAGTCCTGTTTATAACAACATGAAGGGGGAAGGATTGGAGCCAAATGTGTTTACATATAACATCCTTCTCAAGGCTTTGTGTAAGAATGGGAAGGTGGATGGTGCTTGCAAGTTGCTTGTAGAAATGTCGAATAAGGGTTGTACTCCGGATGCTGTGAGCTACACGACCATAATCTCTTCTATGTGTAAGTTTGGTCAGGTAGAGGAAGCAAAGGAGCTAGCTATGAGGTTTGCACCTGTGGTGCCTGTTTATAATGCTTTGATCAATGGAGTGTGCAAAGAATACAAAATTAAGGAGGCCTTTGATTTGATGAGTGAGATGGTGGATAAGGGTATTGACCCAAATGTTGTTAGTTACTCTACTATTATTAGTTGTCTTTCTGATATGGGGAATGTTGACCTGTCTCTTGCACTTTTGGCCCAAATGCTTATGAGAGGATGTAGCCCCAATGTTCATACGTTTACTTCCTTGATAAAAGGTTATTTCTTGGGAGGGAGACTAGGTGATGCTCTTGGCTTGTGGAATCTTATGATTCGGGAGGGAGTTAAGCCCAATGTTGTCTCATACAACACTCTCATATATGGTCTGTGCTCCAATGGGAATATGGCTGAGGCTATTTCTATTTGTAATCAGATGGAGAAAAAATTTTGCCATCCAAATGTGACCACATATAGCACTCTTATATACGGGTTTGCAAAGTCTGGGAATTTGCTTGGTGCTTCTGAAATATGGAACAGGATGATAAATTGTGGTTGCCATCCTAATGTTGTGGTATACACCTCCATGGTTGACGTCCTTTGTCAGAACTCTATGTTTGACCAAGCTTATCATCTTATTGATAATATGATCACTGATGGTTGCCCTCCAACTGTTGTTACATTCAACACATTTATCAAGGGCTTATGTGGTGGTGGAAGAGTAGAATGGGCAGTACGTTTGCTTGATCAGATGGAGAAATATGAGTGTTTGCCTAATATCAGAACATATAATGAGTTGTTGGATGGTCTGTTTAGGGTGAACAGATTCAGAGAAGCTTGTGGACTTATAAGGGAGTTGGAAGAAAAGAAGATGGAGCTTAATTCTGTTACTTATAACACTATTATGTATGGATTTTCTTGTCATGGAATGCAAGAAAGGGTTTTGCAGCTTTTGGGGAAAATGTTGGTAAATGGAGTAAAGCCAGATTCCATTACGGTTAATATAATTATTAATGCATACTGTAAGGCGGGTAAGGTTAGTACTGCCATCCAGCTTTTGGATAAAATTACTGCAGGAAAGGAATTGTGTCCGAACATAATAGCACATACTAGTCTTTTGTGGGGTATCTGTAATTGGTTAGGCATTGAAGAGGCAATTGTGTATCTTCATAAAATGATAAATGAAGGAATCTTTCCTAATATTGCCACTTGGGATGTGTTAGTTCGAGGCTTCTTTAACAATTTGGGTCATATGGGACCAATCCGTATCTTGGATGATATCTTGGGAAATGGATAGTATGCAATTTTCAGCTTCTTCTAAGGGATACTAATGGCATTCAGTTGTGGCGATTTTCAACAGTATGCAACTGATGACGACTTTTCCAAACACTTAATTTGGAGTAGGAGAAAGTGGGGGAGGACAGAACACATGGTGAGAAATCAATAAATTTTAAAATTGAATCTGGATAGAATCATTATGGGGAGGAAAATTCTTTTTCAGAATTTAAATCTGGTTCTCTCTAAATTGATGCAGAAGTGAGTAGAAAGTTGGCATGGTTTTTGTAAATTTTTATTTGAAGTGTACCCTTATTTGCTGAATTATCAAAGAAGTCTAGAAGGGCAGACGTTTTTCTAATTTTTGACAACCAAAAGCCAAGACTAGAACATTTCTCCAAAATTGAAGGTCATTGCCGCAAGGAACTCAGTCATATCCTGCTACCATTATTCATGATACAAGATGAGAAACTATGTATCGGGTGGCAAAATTTGGGGAGTACCATAAGGCAAATTTTGTCAGGTTCAATGTTTTCGAAAAGAAAGCTAGTTGCTGCAGCCAAATATTTGAATTTGCAGGTATCATTTGTAGGCACATTTAACAGTTTTCAGATTCACCAATGTTCTAACTCTTCCATCTCGTTACATCTTAAAACAGTGGACAAGAAATGCTAAAGTGGATGAACTCACTCTTGGATTGCAAAATAATTCTCAGGAGTCTTTTGCTGTTCGTTATGATAGTCTTCGCCAAGAAGTTATGACATATAGTGTAGCTATGGATGCTTTACAGTTTACATGAGGTTGCAAAGAAGGTTGCTGCTGCAAAGAACCTTAATCCCGAACATGTACAAAATATTTCAGATATTGACATCCATGAGATTCAGTCTTGTTCTACAGTAGTTTTTTCCATTTAGAAGAAGACTTTCTGTTTCTTTCTCTATTATGCCATCAATATTTAGTTTTGTTAATAATACATGTGTTATACTTTGACCTTATAGTATTAACAAAACTAGACCTAATTCACTATTGCAGACACTGAATGATCATTTTATTAGACAGCCAATATCTGTAGATGTCTACCCTCTTAGAAAGTTTGAACATCCTTCACTGTCATTATACTCTATGCACATAAAGTGTTTATATTAAATTTGTAACTTTAGTTACAATTAAATAAGCATAATAATATTAACATTTTGAATTCACTTGAAACTATGCAACTGAAATAGAACAAATAGTAGTGACCAGACCTGCAGATAGTTCTGGTAAAACAACATGTAACATTAAATAAGTTCGAGACTCGATCCCAAACTAATCTTGACCTGAAGTTCACGACACAAGCCACATGAAATAAGATGACCAAAAAGTTAGTGAGATTGAAGCCAAGAGGTAAGTCCACAGCAGGATGACAGAACATTCATTCTCTCCTGTCCCAAACAATTGAGTGATTGCTCCTGCATATAATAGCATGAAAAATTTATTGCCGGATGAAATCAAAGTTCAGTGTTAAATGCCAGGAGTTTCATTATTGGAGAAAAAACACAAGAAATATTTCAGCATGAGATTGACATGCACCTATGTTCATGGCAGGTGGAACTGCATACTGAATCAGAAGAACAAACAGGTACAATGAATCTGACTGCACCAAACCTAGTTGAACTGCCCATTTAACAATAAAGATTCCTGATACAGGCAGGATGATATATCTTGAAATGATAATGCCAATAATTATGGATTTCTGGATTCCCGATCCTTGCAAACCTGACACAAATCAAACCACTGTCAGCTTCTTACAATGCTATATATGAATAGAAGTTCAAAGTTCAAACATCACCTTTAAGGAGATTTGCCCCAACTATCAAAGTGAGAGAAGGAATGGCTGCATCTCTGAAGACATAAAGAGGCATTTATTAAAAGGAGTACATAGATATTTACCAAATTTTTTTTTTTTTTTTTTTATCAGGAAGAGAAAACAAAAAAGAAGTGGATGAAGCCACTTGAGCAATGGCTCAATGGAATCACACTACTCAAAGAAACAGATAATATGAATGTATCATTGCCATTTTATCTGGAGTTTGCTGCATCTTTGTGGTTGCAAAATCATTGCCATTCATATACATAACAGAAAAGAATAAAGTTTTGTACCCTAAGAGGGAAGCTGAATCCTGAATCACACGTAATGGAGCTTCGTTGCCTATCAAAACCTGCCGCGTCTGAGGGACCAATCCAACTATAAATCCAACAATCTACACAGAATGAATAAAAGAAAAGGCTGCAGTTTAGTCAAAGAGTGACAATGACTCGATGTTAAATTGAACAGCTCTTAACTAGGATGCAGCTTGTATAAGTACTCAGAAAGCAGCCATGTGAATTCAGAATTGTCTTGTCAGCATGGCTCTGGTAGTTAAACGTTTAGGTACTTTAATGTATAGTTAGAAACATGATAAGCTTTCTCAAGTCATGAGGAAAGTAAAAGTGGCACATGAATAAGTCAGCACGCCTTCACATAGGGGTGTCAAAACAGATCAACACGACACGAATTTGACACGATACAAATACATGAGACACAAACATGACACGGATTTTTATTCGTGTCAAAATCTTCAACGTGAACACGACATGAATTTTTTGCGTGTTGACACGACACAAATGACATGTGTAACATCCCCGTCTCGAGCCAGTTCAATTAACATGCATATGATATGAACAGAAACAGCAGAAGACTTAACTTACGAAAATACGAGCTAACTTTTTCTTTTTCTTTTTAAATTCTCATTCGACGTAAACGAAAATCGGATAGAGTTTCCTCTATAAATCGGACAACTGGGGATTTTCCAATCCCACTCAGAAGCATTTTATGATAAATAGTTTATACAGCACATCAATCCAGAAGTACCAGTCATGCAAATATAATCAGATACCCATCCATGGGCGCATGCATAACTTGGCTCAGTGCCGCTAATCTAACAGCATGCAATCCAATACATAAACATAACTGAATACTACATCCTCATATAATGTGCCTGAATACTCAAATGTACATGCATCAAACTGACAGGCATGTACAAAACATATACAAGCCATATACAAAATAAAGGAAAGCACTATACTCCAAAATAGAAGTAGCCTACAGCTACTCAAAATCCAATACGTCCAAAATCCTCAGCCACGGGTCGCGTCCCTGACTAGAAAGGTCTCACCGAAAACCTGGGCACCTGAAAATATGGCCCCAACGAGGGGTGAGATTACAAATCTCAATAAGCTCCAGGTTTATAGAGAATTCTCCATACCCCTGGCTCACTCCTGCATGAAAGTCAGATACAGAGTATACGAATACAACATATAACAGATATCATAACAGAACAGAGCATATATCCATATCACATCAGAGATGTGCGCCGTCATTCCCAAGGGAGGATCCCAAGCGAAAATCAACGCACGTGTTCCCGAGGGAGGACCCCAAAGCGGACATCAGGGTACTATACAATCAATGGCCAGAGATTATTACAGAAATCATCTTACAGAACTCATATCAGAACAAAACATATCATGTTATCAAATAGCTCTATATGAATGCATCTATACAAAGCATCAAAACAGTCATACAATCCAACCACAGTTCACTAACTATGGTGGAGCACTCAAGTAGGAAAAGACTCCTTAAACATAGAGCTTACCTCTTGAAGCTTTACCGATACCCTTACTTGTTGCACAAATTATTTATATCGCTTCAATAGAATTCCACTCCTTTTCAATCCCTAGGCACACCTAGAGAAGAATTTACAATAGAATCAATAAAATGATACTATGCCATGATCTTTTCCCAACGCATACATTTTATCGCTTATTTTCATTTCTTTACATTTTTGTCAATCCTATGCCAATACACAAGTCTAGACATCTTTATAACCGTTGGTGTTCTTTAATTTAATCAAACATTCCCTTAGGAATTTTCAACATAACTCATGCTATTTTTCTTCAAAACTCATCACTTTTATACAATTTATTACAGCACATTTTATTTAAAATAAAATGTACAAAATATATCCCTAAATACCCTATAGGTCGAATCCTATAAGGGGAATTTCCAAAGATCCTTCTCTTTTACAATACATTTTCTTTACTTCCTTACAACTTGCAAACACCTAGGAATGCTTCCACTAGATTCCTATTTTGAGTTTAGACACCAAGTCCTTTTTACTTTGGCATTCTTACTAACTCATCCATTTTCACTCATTTCCAACACATTATACCTTCACAATACATAATATAATTTTTCCACAATAAACCCTACTCACTCCATGAAGGCCGAAACCTAGGAGGAAAAATGCAATAGGGCTTTTCAATTTTTATATCACATGTGGATGCTTACTCAACACTATAACTTTCTAAACAACAATAATCCATCATAAATTTCACATTCTAACATCAATTATTCCCCACTCACAACATGCTCATAGATTTCATGACTTAAATCATCAAAACAATATCATGGAAATAGAGGTTTCTTACCTCTAAACACTTCTACAAAGCCTAGAGAGCAACCTCCAAGCCAAGCTCCATCAAAAACTCACTTTTTCTCCTCCAATGAATAGTAACTCGAAAATGAGAGGAGGAATAACTTTTCACACACTCAACTATAGCTCAAATGGATAGGTGCAATGGATTCATTGAGTAGTTCCTAATCGATTTCATGTGGTGGGTCATTAGATTTGGTGGAAGATTCAAAGAGAATCAACAAAATCAAAAAAAACCCTAACCCCCCTTTCTCTTGGTGCAGCTCGGGTTTGGAGTGAGGAGAGGAGAGAGAATTTTATTTGGAAATGAAGCTTAAGTGACTTAAAAAGGTGAGCACATGTGGCCCTTTTTATCCGGTTATTTTTCTATCGCGTATTTCACTTAAAATGACCCGTAACTTAACTTAAAGCTACATATATATTTTTATTTTTCTAAGCTCATTTACATTAATTTTTATTTCCTAAGGAACAATATTCTTAATTTACAGTACCGTTTCTGCACTATTTTTGACGAAATACATTGTGGTTCTGTAACGCCCGGCCGCTTCAAGAATCAATGACTATCCCCACATACTAACACGAGACTTTTCAGTGTGCTTTTTCCTTACTCGCACACTTCCCGGGAAAACTTCCCAGGAGGTCACCCATCCCAGAATTGCTCCAAGTCAAGCACGCTTAACTATGGAGTTCTTTCGTTCCGGGCTACCGAAAAGAAGATGCATCTTGTTAGTATATGTAGTACCAATTAATTCTTATAAGCTATTCCCAAACTGTGCAGTCTCACACTTGCACAGTCTTTGAAATTCCTCTATTTCGGGTGTCGATTCGATTCATTCATGCATGTAACCCCCCGCTGGAAGCCTGTCAGGAGCCGCTCGTTGTCCGTGCCTCTTTGCACCGGCGATCACTCCCCGCCCTCGTCAACACTCAGGATGTTACATGCCCACCAGCTTCCGCCTGGTTCGTCCTCGAACCACACTGTACTGGAAGAGAGGCCCTGCTCTGATACCACTAGTAACGCCCGGCCGCTTCAAGAATCAATGACTATCCCCACATACTAACACGAGACTTTCAGTGTGCTTTTTCCTCACTCGCGCACTTCCCGGGAAAACTTCCCAGGAGGTCACCCATCCCAGAATTGCTCCAAGTCAAGCACGCTTAACTATGGAGTTCTTCCGTTCCGGGCTACCGAAAAGAAGATGCATATTGTTAGTATAGGTAGTACCAATTAATTCTTATAAGCTATTCCCAAACTGTGCAGTCTCACACTTGCACAGTCTTTGGAATTCCTCTCTTTCGGGTGTCGATTCGATTCATTCATGCATGTAACCCCCTGCTGGAAGCCTTTCAGGATCCGCTCCTTGTCCGTGCCTCTTTGCACCGGCGATCACTCCCCGCCCTCGTCAGCGTTCGGGATGTTACAGGTTCATTAATTGTGAACTGTTTGCATCCGAAACTTAAAACTTATGAACTTATCATTCTTTGGTCTATTTTGACTTGCTTGGCATATATTGGACTTTCTTATTCTTATTTCATCAATTATCTGTTTCTGGACTCTACCGGTTGCTTAAACAGCAGTACAAAATACCCGGTAAAAACACTATTCACGAGATTTTCACGGAAAGTGCCAGACTATACAATTTTTCGTTCTGAACTCATATCTGTCGTCAGAATTGTCAAATTATGTCTCAAAAATCATTTTGCTTATTTAAGCTCTACCGGTTAATTCACAGGACTGCGAATTCTCTGACAGAACGCACTGTTCATAACATAGTCATGATTACAGTCAAAATACTCGGAATCACTCACTGAATCTAATTATGGCATTTAAATCCTTAAATTAAACCTCAAATTAAGATTTACCAATTTAGGTCATTATAACATGCGAAGTAAGGGTCAAAACTGTAATTAACAAAAAAATGGGTCAAAATCTAAAAAAATTTAAAAAATAACATTTTAAAAAAATACAGGTCAACACGAATTTGACACGACACGACACGTTACGCGACACAAATTTTTTGCGGGTTATTTTCCCATCACGAACAAGACACGAATTTTTTTATGGGTCAACTCGAACACGAATTTCGTGTCGTGTCGCGGGTGTCGACCTGCGTGTCATAACCTGTTTTGACACCTCTACATTCACAGAAATTTTTTTTTTGGAGATATTCTAATCGGTTCATCGTTTCGTAACTAGTCTGATTTGGGGCGGGTCCCGTGATTAAAGCTTTAAACTCCTCCCAAAGACGGTATTGGGGAGGATCTAATACATGCTCTCACCTCCACCTACTCAATTTCTTGACGCCAACTGAGCTACCATCATTTGGTTGTCTTCACAGAAATCTTAATACTGATGAAAAAGGTAAATACTTTAAATCTTTTTATACTGTCTTTTGCATAGATTATTGGCATTTGTATTAATCACACACACGTGATCAGTCCCATATAGAAAGAATTAATCTTTGATTCGGATATTGTTATTACAACGGTGTAAACTTTTACACCATAAGGTCCCATAAATAATTTATAGCATGTACGTACAGAGCTGTTTATATCTATTTTTGACTATTTTCCCATGGATAAAAGTTCCTTTTGTGTACTTTTTTTCTTCCTTAGTTCAAATGTTCTTTGATTATATGATCTAGGAGATGGGAGTAGAAGTTAGCATTATTTTATCCATTTGATCAAGGGCATGGAAGTGATTTCTTCATTTTAGTCTTTAATGCAGATAATCATGGGCTTAAAGCCATACCGCTCCAATAGTCGAGGGAGCAAGTGATTTCTTCAGATCAATCTTTCTTAGAAACAGCCATAAATGCTTCTTCAAGCTAATAATAGTAGCTGCCACCTGCCATATCATAACGCAGCCAATTAATGGTGTAATGTAACAAGTTGAAGAAGCCTTAGGCATCTAACAACTACAGATAGATATGTAAGTAGGAAAATGCTAGATAGCAAGAATAACTATTTTGTCAGAATTTTTGACAAAATGTGCTGCCATGTTTATTGACCCTTTGATGGATGAATGACCTCTGCCTTTATCCAACAATCAGGTTTGAGTTTAGCATAATTTTGTCAAAATTGTGAGTAATTTTTTATTACTGCCTAGCACTACTCAGATAAAAGGGAAAACTCAGTGCACAAGGCCCCTCGAATTGCGAGGGTAGGGATGATAGTCCATTGTACGCAACCTTACCTTTGTATTTTTGCAAAGAGGCTATTTTCCGAACTCGAACCTGTGACCTTCCGATCACGAGGAACGATGATACTGCTGCTCCAAGGCTAGTCCTCGTTAGTGCCTAGCACTACTCAGATAGATGAAGAAAAAAGAGGGGTTGCTTTCCTCCTCTCTCTTGTTTTAGATATACGAAAAAATAAAAAGAGAGATTAGGATTTCATAGTCTGTTTATGCAGTAAAAAACCTCATCTTTTCCTTCAAATGTAGTGCATGGTAGTACATATTGATCCACATTCAGGTCCTGGGATACAAGTAAAGGTTCTGAACAACTTGTCTGGTCTGATTCAGTGGATTTTCTGCAAGATTCATTGTTGGATTCGCTTACAGCATTGGAGCAATTGCTGGTGCTTCTTGAGGAGACCCTGACAATATTGTATACATAGGTCCACAAATAAATGTTTCCCATCTGAAGTGTCACAACAAGCACATAAAGGAAAAGGAAAGGTTAGAAATTAGAATGAGTTGGAGTCCATAAAGGATGAGAAAATCACAATGTCACACACATAATAAACATATATACCGCCAGTGAAAGTGAAGCATAAGCTATTCCATACGTACTACAAGAATCAGGATCCCCAAATGGACTTCCTCTTTCTTTACAAACTGCTGGTATTATAATGAGAGGCAAGTTCCCTAAGTTACCTGTTCATAGGAAAATGAAAAAGAACTCTTTTTATGCACACAACCTTACATAATTAACAGAATAATTTAGATTCTTTTCTTCTTTTAATATGGTTTTTTAATCTGAATGAATAAAACCTGCAGCACAGCAACCAACTATGAGGCCTCTCAGATGTTTAGGTGCTCTAGTTATGTGCATAACCAACAATCCAAGGATTGAACCAATAACAAACGTGATAAGGATATTAAGCGGCATGAACCACCTACAGCACACATTTGAAAGTAAGTGCCTCAAAATAAAACATCCCGTTGGAGAAAATGCTAGAAAATACAAGGAATCATTAAGATAATTTTATTTTTATTTTTTAAAAAAATCTGACTCACAATTTGAGCATACTATCGTATGTGATTGTCTTGGCTAGATTGGCTGCTAGAAGGGCTGGATTTAATACATAAAATGCTACCTGTTGATGCAAAGAAAAATATGGCAGTAAGCTAATAAACAAGTTTTACACAAACACGAGAGAAAAATTCATGGATAATAGAGAACTCACAATATTCAAGTGCTTCCTAGCATCTGTCCCCAAGATATCAATACTATCTAAAGCAAGATATGACCCAAGTGCAGTAATCAGTAGAACTTTCAAGACTGGCATGGATGCAGCAATTAAGATATCCACAAACCCCATTTTGGAAGCCTCAATCAATTTCGGATGAACCCCAGTTCCTATATGCCTGAAGTCAAGAAATTTCATTTTACTGAACATATAATGATTAACATGCATAAAACAAACAAGGTAGTTAACTTCTTAATTCAATGCTCCTGTATGTTACAAATACTTGCTCAACTTGCTTTAGCAGTATAACCACTGCAATGGAGACTCATATAAATATTTTCTCAAACGAAAGACCAAAAACAAAGATAACCAACTCACAAGCTGAATAAGAAGAATGAATGAAATATTACCACAAAATATGTTATATATATATATATATATATATATATATATATATACAACCACGTGTGCCAATATGGATGCTGATGCAGGCACTAGTGAAACTGGTATAGTTAAATATTTGACAAACCTATATATTGATCTTCCTGATGCTAAGTCCTTGTAACTGAAAAACCATGTAGTTTGCTTGGTTGCTGCTTAGTGCTTATTTGCTATTCCCCAATGGCTTTTCCTTCTATATCATATATGTAAAGAACCAATTTAAGCCAAAAACTTAAGTTGTTGGGTTGAAATGGTTCTTTACATAATATCATAGCCTTATGTCACGGGTTTGACTCTCACCGTCCTTATTTAATTAATAATTAATTTAGTATTGTGGAGTTTCTTAGCACAGGTAGGTGAGCCTGTGCATTGTCTATCCTTCAAATCCAATGGACATTCGTGTGATGGGGGGGCGTATTAGAATTATATAAAACCATTAATGTAACCTCACCCAATAGCTTAAACTTTTGGGTTAAATTGATTCTTTACAATACACAAGTTGTCAACTGGATATAAACCTCTTATCATGAAGGAAAGGTCCAAACTGCAACTCTAGTAATTGGTATGAACACTTCAGTTCCCGCCAATACCAACCTTACATGCTCCATTGGATGATTTTTGTCCTTTCCGTTTCAGCTGAATGCTATCTATAATGCATTTACGGGTGTGTGTTTTTTTCTTTATAATAATTCTAGGAAATACCTATATTGTAAAACTCCCTTTTTTTTTGTTTTAATATCTTAACATCCACAAATTGAAAGGCAAACGGATTAAATGATGAAACAAAAAACTCATGTTACTGTTAGCATTCCTTTTTGAAAATGATCTAAAATAAAGGGTCATAGATAGTTTGGCAGTAGCTACCCACATCGAATCAAATTATTTGCGAAACGATAAATAGATTGAAATATTTTATTTTTTTTTAAAAGATAGTTGGACAGTACTGAGAGCAATATTTTTATGGTCTGACTGAAGGAAATCTTAGATTTATGCGGAAGCGGTTTAGGACCTAGTACATTGGTATGCTTACCGAATCATCCTTGTTTCACAATTACCTCTCGGTGCGCAGGTGTCGTGTAGAATCTTCCCTTGTAGGATTCCTCTTCACGAACAGCTCACCTCAGCGCCGCAGCACGAACAACCTCCTTGAAGCTGGACTGTGGCAGATCTTCCAGACTATCTCTCGAGGAGGATGAGATGGTTGTGTGGGCAACCGTTCAGATGATGAACGTCTGCCTCTTGGGGTTTATTTCTGATGATCTATTCACCTTGGAGGCACAAGAGGAGAAAACTATGAATATATACGCTTAGGTCTTAGACATAACTCAACCCTAAGCCTCATGGGCTCAAGTTTCACTGAAGCCCAATAGGACTTTAGTGACCAAAAGAGCATATATCCAACAATCTCCCACTTGCTCTTTAAGATACAAACTTGAGTTCGTAAACCCAAGACCATGTAGCCCATAAGCTATCATCATCTGATAATATACCTCATCCCTTGTCTCGAGCTAGCCTGGGGACCTACCATTTGTCATTGATCAAGGCTCCTGATAATCTTTACAAGATTATCTAATTCGGTGCTACTCCACTAAAAGCCCGAACGTGAACTCCAAGATTAATGACCTTTATAACATTAATATGCATTGCCCCTTTATAGAATGTCTATAATTCATTGATTAGTTTTCTGTAACCCAATCAATTATTTATTCCCTCGACTTTGATAATTTCTCTAATGGATTACATGCACTGGCCAGTGTCTTTAATATCCAAGTACCGAAATATATCAAGGGGACATTTCCTATAAATTCCTTGTTGTTTATCTCATAAATACTGATAATCAAATAATCTCACTCCCAAAACACCGAGTTATTGGCCGTCAAAAGATCGGACCTCACCCGTTGGTAAATCAAAGAATGAAAACTATTTGATTACCTATTTATAATAAACTCAGGATTAAGAGCAATCACATAACTATAGTTAACTGGAGATTTGATACCTTATGACAGAAAAACAACCTTAATCAAATCTCTCCTTGATCCTTTCAATGTGAATGTTAATTCACACCAATATTTTACAATGATTCGGACAAAATCACTTCATAAAATATTGCAGCCTGAATGAAGTGCCCAACTTTATTTAATGGCTGTGACTCCATTCATCAATTGTGAGATCCTATGATCATGTCCTCCATGAACGTATCCATATGATCATATACTCCACAATTTGATCCGGACCTTTATGTTTGTAAATAGTGCGCAAAATAAATAAATAAAACCTTATTTATGAAATTCAGAAAATTATTTTATTGTTTCATCGTCTTACTCCAAGAGCACAATGAAACCAATAACTCCCACTTGCTTAATGCAAGTCTGGGATCCTCCTAAGACCCAAAGAAGTAACATGCCTCTCGAACACAAGTTCAGGCAAACTCTTAGTAACTGGGTCTGCAAGATCCACCTCTAATGCTATCTGAGTTTAGTGAAAAACTCATAGCTCGAGGTTGATTTTCTTGAGTCAATATCCACTTGAAATAACTGAATTTTTGAAAACTCAGCTTTTCAAGACTCCCAACCAGCATATAATCTCTCGTTCTCCAAAGATACTTGAGTACATGCTTAACAATAATCTAGTATTCCTCTAGGTTCAAAATGGTACTATCTCACTACTCCCACTGCGTGACAGATGTCTGGTTTAACGCCCAACATGATATGCGTGAGTCTACCTTTGCCAAAGCATAAGATATCTTGCTCATGCATTCTTCTTTCTTAGAAGTCTTTGGTCACTCCTTAGGAAGAAGAATTTCACATCTGAGAATTATAATTCTTCTCTTAGAATTCTCATGTTGAATTTTGGGTTTTGTCAATGTAAGTAGCCTGAGGTGATGCCAACAACTTATTCTTCCGGTCTCATAAGAGTTTTATACCAAGAATATAATTGGCTTCCCCAGTACTTCCATACCAAAACACTAACTTAGCCAACTCTTTATGCTTGATATTACCTCCACATTGTTTCTAATAAGGAGCATATCATCTACATAAAGTACCAGAAAAGCTACTGTCTTCCGTTGTATCCTTTACATACAAATACACATCATTCATCAAGGTTCTCTCAAAATCAAAATTTTGATAACCTGATCAAAACTGATGTTTCAAGACCTAGATGCTTGCTTAAGACTATGAAATAGACTTTCACAACTTGCATACCGTGTGTTCCTACTCATTTGCTATAAACCCTTTTGGTTGTTGTATGTAGATATCCTGACATCCAACTCCCAAAATGAAATCTCATAATTGAGACTTATAACAACTAAGAGAATCTGGATAGACTCAAGCATGGCGTCTGGCAAAAAATGCCTCCAAGCTAGCTTTGAAGGTTTTCACCTTTCTGTCCATCCTCTCTTTGCCTTTTATGTCCACATGCACCTTGTGGGTTTTACCCCTCTTGGTGTATTTACTAGGAGCGAACGGAGTTGAAATACAAGTATTTCATCTCATTGTTCATAGCGTGAGCAACACTTGATCAACAACATCTTCTAGTGTATTATCGTAACTAGTAGGATCAATATCACTCAACAAGAGACAACTTGAGAGTTAACAAGGTTCTCTCCTACTACGAATGTACTGCACTAGACCTTGTGTATTTATAGGTAAAATAAATAGTGGGTCAAATGATGGATCTTCAATTTCTTGAGGATCCGATTATCCTTGATATTGTTCCTTTACATGTGATACTAATATTTCTGCTAGTTTCACTTATATATTATCATGTTGAATTTCCAATCATGGTTCTCTTGTTTGTTCACTTAGAGATATATATATCCCCTCTTGAACAATCAAGGGAACAGTGGATGAAGCTTCTAGAGATTCTGGAAATTCTTGATCTGAGATAAATCTCATCAAGAATAACCTAACTTAAGAGCTTATAATTTCTTATCTAGTCCTCCTTTAAGAAAATCATGTAAGTGCTCACTTAGATTATCTTGTCCTTAAGACTAAATAAGAAATCATCCCTAGTTCTCTTAGGGTAGCCAAAAGATATGCACTCTTCCATACAAGATTCCATCTCATTTGACTGTTGTTGTAGGACGTGTGTCGTAGCACCCTAAATCCGGATATGGTTTGATCTGGGCTTGCACCCTTTCCATAATTCTTTAGGTGTCTTTACAACAAACTTTTGACGGAATCAAGTTAAGAAGGTACATTTCCTTCTCTTAGGCATCTCCCTTGAACAACATTGACAAAGATGAATAATTGAACATGATCTTCACCAAGTCTAGAAATGTTTGATTTTTGCATACTGCAACTTCATTCAACTAATGCGTTCTTAGAGTTGACAGTTACAAAAACTATCCCCTCTTAAATCAGGTAAGACCTGAACTTACCAGACAGGTAGCCAACACTTTAGTCAGACCAAAGTGTTTTTGATTTGAACACCTACATGCTTTTCTGCCTCAGACTAAACCTCTTGGAATTTCCAAAAGCTTTAGACTTATGGCGCACTTGGTTCATCTGTCCAAATCCAGAGTAAACATTCATATAATGAAGTACTCATCACCTCTTCTGGTCTGAACACTAATTGGTCCACATACATTAGTATGTACCAGTTCCAGTTGAATAGTTGCGCAAACCTTTTTGGCCCTTGTAGGATTGCTTGGCCACTTTACCTTCCAAATAGGACTAACATGTAGCTGTTAGTTAAAAGATTATTGAACTTTCAGTCCCTCTTTTAACTAAAATATGTTTCCTACTTGAGATAATATGACTCAATCACAAAGGCCAAAGTGATGTTTCATTTGAAACTTTTATTTCTTTGGTGAAAGTTCTTGTTCATCATCCTTTCCATTCAACATAACAAATTTAAAAAGGTATAGGACATAGGTAATAAAGACTATTTAAACAATGTACCAGAACAAATAAGACGAAGATGAACTTCGAAATGTAATTGAGGAATCAATTGCATTGTCAAACCATGTTTTAACCAAAACAACTAACAAAAATTGAATTCCTCTTGAAATCTTGTACAAATAAACAGTCACCCAAAATCATAGTCTTATAAATAACTTGTCCTACTGCAAATGCAGACACAATTTCCCATTTTCAAGCTTAAAATATCTATGTCCATTACTGACAGGTATGCCATGCTTGAACTACTACAAAGAGTAACAAACATAATCAGTGATTCCT